AAAAATTGTTAATTAAATTATAATGAGATTGGCAAGATTCGGAATTCCTACCATTTTAAAACGATTACCATTCACTCAACTATATAAATTTAAGCCTAATGTTGTTAAATCAGTTGCTCTAGGAACTCTATTTGCAGGTCTCACATGGAAATAAGCTTTAAGATTGGATGAATTCCAAAGCACAGTAGTTTCTGATGTTAATGAATTCTGTTGTGTATTGGTTTTGGAATTGACTGAAGGAGATGCTAATCTATAACACGAAGCCTTAAATGCACTAAAAGAAGTCCCAAAACTTGTTCAAAAAAAATCCAATGAGGATGGTATTAATTATTAATATTAATTAGATGAACTTGATCCTGTTACTGTGGGTGTTGGATTTTAAACAAAATTTTGGGAAAAATTAACAAGGACACCATAAAGTGATTATGATGCTAGAGCTGGTGCTTATGGATCTATGCCATATGGTAAAGGTAATGTAATTGTACATGTTAAAGCCCAAAATAGATCCTTAGCATTTGAAACTATTTAAGTAATCTATATATGATATATTAACATTTTAGAAAGTAGTAAGAAGTTTACCAAAAGGATCTTATCGTGTAGTATCTGAAAGATATGGATATAAATATTAAGATGGAAGAGATATGAGTGGATTTTTGGATGGTACAATGAACCCAAGTCTTAAATAACAAAGATAAAAGGTGGCTGTTAACGAAAGAGGAGGTAGCTATATGATTCATCAAATCTGGCATCATAAATTAGATTGGCTAGAGAAAGTCACTGAAGAAGATTAAGAGAAAATGGTTGGAAGAAAGAAATCAAATTCTTTTGAATTAAGACCTTTACCTATTGATAGTCATGTTACTAGAACAAGAAGTGAGGATAACAAGAGATTATTGATCGTTAGATAATCTCAACCATTTGGTACTGTTACAGGAGATCATGGTTTACTCTTTATTGCTTATGCCAAAGATTTAAATAACTTCAACACTATGCTTGATAGAATGACAGGAAAAGGAGATGGAATCAATGATCAAATAATGAAGATGTCCATGTAATGAATATTATTTATAATAGTAACTCATATGGAAATTATTTCTATGTACCAAGTGTCCAAGAACTATAAAGATTATGAAGAGATTAATATAGATATATATATTTAACACAATATAATTATTCAATAAATATTATTTTCAAGCTTTATTACTACTTTTTGTTAATTTAGAATTATTATTTTATTTTTTAAGATATGTACACATAAGTCTTTAAGTTAAAGGTTATTTTTAATTATATTTTTCACTTCTGGCCAATAAAAGTCTTGGTGTTTTTGATTCAAATATACTTAAACTATTTTTTTTAATATTCTCTAAATGACATAGATTAGGAATATTAATTGGAGATTTTTTTTATTAAATTGAAGAAAAATAATAATTGGAACCTTCTGTTTTGATTCGAAATTAACAATAATTTGGTGTTTATTTTTATTATTTATTTGTTTCATCTTTTTTATTTTGATTATTAGTTTCTATTTCTAAAACAGATCTTAATTTATCAGTATCAGTATTAATATTCATTTTTTATTAAACCTTATTAAATAAGCTATGTGTTGATATGCTCATTTTAGTTTTAGTTTCTTTATCAATTTTATGAGTTGCACTAATTTTTTTCATTAAATTTTATGCTTATATTAATTGTATTACTGGCATAATGGAAACACGATTACTTTTTTAAATAGTCTATTTAGAATGCTTATCACATAAAAATTAATAAAAATGATACTAAAATGAGCTGAAGATCCTATCAAACTTAAATCTCTATTAGATGGCCTAACATTTTATGGTTATATTGACAATTAAGGTGATGCTGGTAATCTAAATTTAGTATTAGATTATTGTGGGTCTATTAATTCTTTTTTACAAACTAAAATTTTCTTTTTAATCTTGCCACCACAATCCAAACATTCACAACTAGAAATTAATTATTTATTATCAAATTGATTTGTTTGTTAAAATGGTATTGCAAAATTTTTAAATAGACTTTTACATCCTTATAATTTTTAATAGTTTACTTTTTATAAAACATTTATCAAATCCAAAGATTTTATAATTGTGTTAAGTATCTTAAATTGAAATTCTTTTATGAAATTATTAATGAAAAGTTAATTGTAAATCTGATTCTTGTTAAATTTCAAATAAATCCATAAATTTATCTAAATATTTATTATTATTATTATTATTATTATTATTATTATTATTATTATTATTATTATTATTATTATTATTATTATTATTATTATTATTGAATATTATGAATTGGAAATAATTGTAATCTTTTAGTCTTTTAAAATAGAATCATAATAATTGATTATTTTTGTATAATTATGAATGTATTTTTATCACCATTCTGGTTTTGGTCTCTACTTCTTTGCTATTTCTCCTCTAGCCAAATCTGGGAAGTTCTCTTCACATGACAATGGAACATCTTTGAAATAGTAATTGCCATAAGTATTATTTTATCTCTCTCTCTCATATGACCATTGTCTTTCTCCAAGTAAACAATGTCTATAAAATTTAACTGCAGTCATTTTTGTAACTTACCACCAGAGATAAGATGCACCCAATAAATATAATCCATATCCTGCCAAACCAACATATCCAAAACTAATTTTAATGATCACATTAATATACTTATAAAAGAATGAAGTTTATTTTATACTAGTTATACCTCTTTATCCAATAGGTAAAAACATTTATCTCTAAGTTAAGGCAGCTTATTGATACTCAAATTTAATATATACCTTATAAAAAGAATCCAGTAGTACATATCCAAACAGGGAAAATTCGAACAAAATTGAAGCATTTCAAATCTCTTTCAACAAAATCTTGAATATTTCTTGCTACATGAATTCTAAATATAATAAATAACATATATTACCTTTGTAATTTATTTACAAAATATGTTCTTGGATCTATTTGCTTACCTTCTTATGCATTTTCTTACATTATTTCAATATATCTTTTATAAGCTGGATTATCTCCATGTTAATAAAATAACAATGGATCATACAACTTTTGAATTTCTTCTTTCAGATTTTTAGCATCTGGTTTAGACATCTTAATTATTTATATATATATAATTATGATTTGATAAAATATTCATTTTCTAATAATGTTTATTGGGAAGTTTAATGTTACTTTGAATCCATCATATAAAATCATAACTAAATTCACTTCAAAATCAACTAAACTATTATAATATCTTTATACCACTAAATTCTCTAAATTGAAAATTAGGACATGAAAAAAATTTTGGAAATATCATATGAAATGGTATTTCTAATCCTCTTGTTGCATTCCCTTCAACTATTTATATCAACTAAATTTCAGTGGCTTCACTTATTTTGCCTAAGTTATTTTCTAATTTCTCTACTCTTATTAATTATAAATCAATAGTTCTTATTTCAGAATCACATTCTTCAATTATTAAAGATCCATGAAAATCTTCTTAAAATTAACAAATTGATGTATCGATTAATCCATTTATTCTGAATTTAGCATTTTATGATTTATTCATTGTGCTTGAATTTCCTAATAATTTATCAGGTGTTATCAAAAAATGTTCAACTCGAGGATATTTATCTGTAGGTTTTATTCTATCACTCCCTTATCCAGGTACATACACAAAATATGGGATTGTTGATGTAACTTTTAATCCATTTGATAAAGTTAATTCTGTCTCAATTGAATATTGTATTGCAACATATACACCAACATAGGTTTCCAAGATCTTCCTATCCTAATATGGAGTTAATTGATATTTGAATGGAAATGTATTTTTCTCTTATAATCTATATTCTATAAATTAATTGGATTCTACATATATTTATCCTTAGTTAATTGACCATCTAATTAATGTAATAGAACTGGATGAAGTTAACTTGACATCCTCTCTAAATCTTTATGTGTTTCTTTGTTTTAGGATATTATTGTCCCTTCAGATTTCCATATAAATTATTAGATTTCAAGTCTTTTCATTGTTGGATCCGTAAATACAACAGTAACTCCTCCTGAAATAAAATCCTATTTCAAAAATTATTTATACTCCTGGCTTAAAGGTATTATTTGCCTTATCAAATTTAATTTACAAAATATATTCGCTTTTCATTTTTAGATAATTTATTAAAATAATAAATGTTCAAATAGAAATCTCTACAAATATTCAAATTTCTAATACTAATATTCATCTAATAATAATCCTGAAACAAAATATATATATATTTAATGTTATTAATAGAAATATTAAAAATATTTTGTGATTTATAACATATTATATATATATATAATAGTCTAAGAATATATATGAATAAGTAATATAAAAATAGATATATGTCAGAGAAATACACTAAATTTCAGCATCTATCTTTTCAGACAGGGATAACTATTAATCATCATGATAGCTTTATGATTAGAATAATATAAATATATGAAAAAAATGAAGTATTTTATAATTATGGTTTATTATTATTTTTTATTTATTAAATGTTTTCGAATTAAAGTGAATATGATTTAAGAGTGTTTATGTCCTCCTATTCAGATGCTCTACATTGTTTAAAATAATCAGCAGATAAATCTACATTAAGAAAAAATTATGAAAATATTGCAAATCGACTTACTATTTATGTAAAATAAAAGAAAGTATAAAGTATATATATTTATGTAGATGTTTGGTGAAGCTAATTTATCTAAAAATGAAGAGAGAGACATATTAGCATTTCAATATACACAGTAAAATATTAAAAAATATATAAAATTAGTTATGTTTTTTTAAAATATTTACCAGATTTTGACAATTTTAAAGGAAATTATGAATAGTTGTAGACAATCCTAAATAATTCATTTAATTCTTTATCTTCAGATTATCAACTGTATTCATAGTAATCATAAAAATAATAATCATAATGATTTGAATATGAAAAAATTCATATTATAATAAGATCATCATCCTCATCCCTTGATCCAGTGTTATGATTTGGATACTGTGAATTTTAATGGGATTTCTTTTTTAAGCATTTAGATTTCAATTATTACACCCAATTCCCAATAATCTTATGAGGTGGTAGTTACTTTATCAGTTTTGATGAATGTTGAAATTTTTTAGGCTACATTATAGATAAATAAATTTGATTCTTTCATTGAAGTGACAAAATTTTAACTGAGAGTTATTTCCTATTTTTAATTAATTTATTTTAGAGTTCTTCAAAATAGAAAATAACTGTAATACTTTTTTGTAAATTGATAAAGGGTATTGATATTATTGAAAGTAGTTTTGGTTAATGATAAATTAGATAATTTTGATGATAATTATAAATTTTGATTTTGGTTTGATTTAACCTTTTTAATTCTATCATAAATTGTAACACTTTAATTCTTTCGGGGATCCTCATGATTAAAGAAATCCTAATATTCTTGTAGATCTGGTTAAGATAAAGTAATAGTATTAGGCGTTTTATTAATAATGAACATTATTATTTATAAATATTTTATATATGTAACAATAATTATTAAAGCCTTAATCTAAAGAACATGCCCTATAAATTTTACAATAGGGATTCCAAATGTATTAATAATAAGGACATATGAGTTTCAATGAAAATGCTACAGTGATTTAATAACCAGAAAGAATGAGTTTTAATGATTAAAAGATGAAATCACATCCAAAAGTTCATAATGTATTTGATAGTCAAAAGAGAATAAAAAATAATTAAAATTAAATAGAACAAAGTATTGTTGGAAATAGATTTGAAATTCCTATTTTGCCATCAGGTAAATATCTAAAATTTAATGTTCTATCAAATTGGGGTGATAAATAGCAAGTTGGACTTAATGGAATTGAAGTTTTTGACTCATAAGGAGGTAATATAACTAGATATATAAAAATGCCAATGTAAGATGATTATATAGAGAAATTAAAATTGATTGATGGTTATTAGGCAGTTAAAGATGATAAACATATTTGGAAAACAAAGAATTTAAAACCAGAAATTATTATTGATTTAACTGCAAATATCAAAATCTCATTGATAAGAATTTGGAATTACAATAAATCAAGGATTAAATCTTATAAAGGTGTTAGATTATTAAAGATAACTTTAGATGAAAGATTAGTAAACTATTGATGTAATATTTTAGTTAGATATTTTATGGAGACATTTAGAAAGCAACAGGAGATTTAAAAAAGTTTTAGGATAACTGTGAATACATTTTATTTACATAGGATACTAAAATAATAAGTAGAATAGCTGAATTAGATTGGTTAAACAAAAGAGCTGAAGATTATTCTATTTAAATTCTATAATAAACTATGAGTATGCAATAAATTAGACCAAATACTGGTACTAAATTATAATCATAGAATTAAAGATAATAATAAAATGATTAATCTCCATCATCAAAATTATATTAATCTAGAGTTTATTAGCTATAAAATAATGATTAGTAATAGTAACCAATATAAATTTAAAGATAATAATAATAATATAAAGAGTTATATATATAAAAAGCTTCAAATAAATTAGAAAAAGTATAAGTACAATATCCAGAATACATAACTGTAATTGATATTTTATTGGAATTTAATAATGGATCAAAGAGATACTTAGGACTTAATGGTTTAATTTTTATTGATGACAAGAACCAATAGATTCATTAAGAAGATATTTTAAATTCTAATTTAACTGATTATGACATATAACTTTTATTCTATTCTAATAATCCTACTTTAGTTGATTCATCAAATATGGTATGGTTAAAATAAAAAAAAATTTATATCAAATTTAAACAATAGACAAAACTATCAATGATTAAATTTTATAATTGTAATCAAATTATTAGTGAATCAACATTTTCTGGACCTGAAATAGTGAAAATTAATTATAATGGTAGATTTAAAATATTTAGTAATTATTTTTTTATTATATAAATAGATTTAAGACCTGCACCATGTGAAGAAATTAATTTTGTTTAAACAATTAATTTAACTTAACCAAATAATAATTCTTATTCTGGTAATTTAATTGCTAATTATGAATTATTTAATTCAAATTATATTATAGCATATCCTCCTTGTGGAATGTTAGTAACAATATATTTGTTTAATACTTGGGGAGATAATAATTATATAGGTTTAAATGGATTAGAGATATATGACCATTAAGGTTTAGCTTTATTATAAAGAAAAACAATTCCTTATACAATTCATTCAGTTCCATAAGTACTTAAACTAAAATATAATTCTAGTTGGAGGATGATCCAAGAGTTGTTTAAAATTTAGTGATTCCTCCACATGATATCAATTGTTAACCATAGAGAAGTTTCTTGGCTCCATTTATAAATACTCCAATGGAGAAATTAAAAAATAAGAATGCTATTATAATATAAAAAGCAAGAGATTTGGAAAGATAAGATATAAATAAGATATATATATTGTTTGATAAACTTATATGTTTCAGTGGGATAGATTTTTATAATTATACTAAAGATTGGCAAAGAGGAGTAAAATAAATTCATATATATATTAATAATAGATTAATATATTAAGTATTTTATTTAATATTAGATTTAGGGTAACATTAATCAAACTTTCTAAGATATTAAAAAGAATATATTTAATAAAACTACTATATTATTTTCAGATTCCAACTAAATTAAATAATAATTAAATCCATATTTCTATTAATTTCCAGAAGAGTAAATTTCTTTAATTGATGAAAACAGATAATTAACTTAAAGAGAATATTAATAACATTTTCACCATCAATTAACAAGACCAAAAACAAGTGTTAAATGAGAATATTTTAACATTTAATATTTATATTTTTTATAATAAAGTCAGTTTTATTAAATGCCAATTTTTCAGTTTTATTAATGAATCAGTTTTAGAATAAAGTAATTATAATAGATAATGAGTATTTCTGTTAATTCATGTATAAAAGAGGATTGGGATGAAAAGAGTACTAGTACAGAAGAAAAAGATGATGAAACTTTCTTTTAAATTGAGTAAAATATCATTAAATAACTTAAGTGTTAAACCAAAAAAAAAGAGATTTGAAACTAAAGAATAAAAAAAACAATTTATTGAAGAGTATACTAAGAAAAAGAAAACTGAATTATGTAAAAATTATGAAGCTTTAGGATATTGTAAATTTGGAGATGAAGTAATATATATATATAATATTATTAAATAGTGTTCCTTTGCACATGGTCTAACATAATTATAACCTAAAATTCATTTACATTAAAATTATAAGACCAAAGCTTGTGTTAGATATTTTAATGAAGGATTCTGTCCATATGGAATTCGTTGCTAATATTTACATAATGAAATCATTAATCAATCAAAATTTGATCGATATTTAATGAATTGTTATAAACAAAATGGAATGAAACCTCCTATCTCTTAAAGTAAAATTAAATTCTATTTTAGAATTTTTAAAAACTTCAGATAGATTGGATATTTAAAGATTTTAATCAATTTTCAATAAATTTTAAAAGCAAGGACTTACTATTCATTTTCATAATAGGTCTATGTTTTTTAAAAATTTAGAAAATTAGTAATCATCTTGAATTAATTTTATTTATTTTGTAAATAATAAAATTATTATAATATGTCAACTCTTTATCTTACAGGACCTTAAATCACATATGATTCATTTGATAGTAATGTTGCTAAGAAATTAAAGGATATTTGTAAGGAAATGGAAGTTTTGATTATTAATACTAATTAAAAGTTTTCAAGTCTATTGTAAAGTCAGTAAAATAGCTTTTATAAGGCATTTAAATTAGTTATTGAACAAATGTCTACAGATTTTAAGAATTTATAATAAAAATTTGATGAATATATAACATATCATGAAAACGAGACAGAAGTAATAAATTTAGTTAATTTGATTAGGTAGTAAAAACTTAAAATAAATTGATTTTTTTTAGAGATGAATGTCAAGTTCTCAATAAATTATGTATAGATTTGAAACATTAAAATCAAGAGTTAAAATAGAAAGTTAAAGAACTTGAATAAGTAATAAAATTATTTTATAATAAAAGGAAATCAATAATCATAAATTTATATTAGTTAAATAAATTAGTAAGAATTCAAAAATAAATGAAGAAATTCAAATTATGAAAGTATAAATGTAATTATCTTAATAAACATAATTAATCAATAAGAATAATGATTAAAATATAACAAATGAAAAAAAACTAAAAGTTCCTCATTTAAAATTAAATAATAGATATCACACAGAATTTACAGATTATGATCATTAAAGTATTAGTACATTTAGCAATAAAAATTAAATTATCAATCTTTAGAAAGAAACAAAATAAAAGAAAAATCTATCATTTATTAACAAAACTAGTGAAGAGTTAACTAATGCTCAATCAAGCAAATAAAATTTATATCATATAGGTTAATATTATATATGATTAAGATTAGATTAATTTTTTGAGAAATCATATAATTCCAGAACAAAATCATAATAACATACTTTAAAAAAGCTTGAGCAAACAGAACTCAGTTAAAAAATACCAGAAAGAAGTTCTTCAAATTTAAAATATAACAAAGTTAATTCTTAATATTACAAAAATAATCCATCAATTTCCTGTTGATTATAATAATTTTTTTATTTAATTATGTAATAATATATAAAGAAAGTAAAAAAGAGAATATAAGAATAGTGGATTAAATATGTTTTCATATTGATAATACTAATAATAGCAATGCTTAGAAATTACACAAATCTAAAAATCTCAAATGAAGAACCTGTTAAATTAACAGATGAATAGATAGCTAAAACTTCATAATATAAATAAGAAACAATAATCTATTATGGTATAATGTCTGCTGTTTTTATTGGAATTCTTGCTTTTATATAAGTTTTAAATAATAAACATGAAAAACCAAAAGAAAAAGAGAAAGGACTATGATGATTAGAGTAAAATTGAGATAATTATTATAAATTAATATGTTCTTAAATTAATCAAGCTAATTTTTTATACACTACATATCTTCTTACATAAATGACTTAACAAGCAGCTACTATTATTAGTAAACCAAATGTTATGCCTGCAAATCCAATAATTTTAGATTGTATATCTACAAAACTAATTTTTCTTTTATGTTCTCTATCTACTATTAATAATTATTCCCTAGAAATTTCTTATTACAATTATTCCATTTATTATAATGTTTCATTTATATTTAGAACATGTTGCTTTTTAGCTAATTAATCTTGATCATAGATTTCAGCACCTTTTGAATAAATATGTATATTTTTACCACTTTCATAAAATAAATTAATAGTTGCAATTTCAGAATAATCATCCACTTCAAAACACATAGAAATCTCTCCTGATTCTTACATAACATGATGGAATTATTATACTACTTGACTTGAATACTCAGCTATTATATTTTCCATTTCTTATTAATTGACTATCTATATAACAAATTTAGTTATTTCATACACTCAATGTAAAAGTATATAATAAAGTAGATGATTCATATTATCCATAAATAAGAGTATTTTATGAAACATTATCCTTTATACATTATTATTAACCAGGAGGTATTTTGAATTTTAAACTTATTGATTGAACTTCTGTTAATAGTAATAAGAATTGTAATAACATAAATTAATATTAAAATTTATATTATTAAATATAAGAATATTTATGTTAATAGTAATTTGATAATATGGATAATTATTTATAAATCAATGATTATTTTATTTATATGTTTGAATTCCATTCCAAAATGATCCCAAACTTCCAATAAATCCATCATGTTTTATAAAATAAGGCTATATTAGAATGATGTTCTTACATGTCTATTTTATTAATCTAATTTTGAGAAGTAAGAAAAAGCTTCATTTATACATTATAATGTTTCTTCATGATTTCTAATAAAATGTCCAGAAAAGAATACTCTTTCAATATTATGTAATTTTGAATGTAAAAATGCTATTTGACTAATATTATATGTAGTCATATAAAGTAAAGATTTTACTAAATCTTATTAATTAATATTTGAATTCTATTTCAATTTTCCCATACTAACAGCAACATGTTTTTCATTTTTATTTCTTGTTGGAGATTAAAATCCTAAATGAACTTCATCCATTAATAAATCTGTTGCTGCATTAGAACCTTATTTTGTCATTTTTAATAATTCATCAAAATCATTAATCCCAGTAAATAAATGACTCAATCCTAAAAACATTCCACCACCTAAACAAGTGCCTGAAATTCTTGCAAATTTATCTTCATTATCAAATTTTAATATACTAACACCACTTCCTATATTAACCAATATGAATGGATAAATTGAGGCCTAAAAATTTATTTTAATTAAAAATACCGTCAATTACAAATATTCAATACCATTATTAAAGGTAAAGTATGTATTTTTGTATTTGATACTATCCAACAATTTAAATCCGAACTTTAAGGCATCAAATTCATTGATTCTGACAATGTTTCCATAATTTGAAATTTAATCATAATACTTAAATGAACCTCCACCTGTAATATAAAATGTTTAGATATTTGATTTTCCATCTATAATAAAGCCTATCTATTCTAATTATTGAATTAACACTTCTAATGAATTAGGATGAGATAGAAAATGTATTTCATAATCTTCATCTTCATTTTTGACTATGAATAATAATCTTAAGTCTTATACTTTTAAGTTCTTATTTTGTTTAACAATTTAATATGAAATTTGTCTTAGCTGCAAAAGTCACTTTTGTTAATGTTCCACCAATATCTAAACAAACTATAGGTATTAAACCTTAAGAAAATGATGGATTATTTTACATCTTTTTATTAATATTCGAAATAATGAAGTATCATCTTTTATGTAAATATGATAAAACAATTAAGTCATCATATAATTAGATGATCAAAAGAAGTTATAAAATTGTCAAAAAATGGCTCCTTTTTCATAATATTAATATTAGAGAAAACTTAAATTGATCTAAAAACTATCATGTATTGTATGATTATCAATCATTTTATATATTTACTATGAATGATAACTTAATATTTATATAATAACTAGTTTCAAAGAATCAAAATAAAGTTAGATTTTTAGATATCTAGGAATTTATCATCTTTAGATCTTAGTATTTAGTTTATATTATTTTTATGACAAAGAGTTGTTTGAGAATATGTAAAATGAGGTTAAATGTGTTTGGTTAAAATCAAATTTAATTATATAATAATATTAATGCTTTCAACATAAGTATTTAATTCTTTTGCTTAAAGATAAAGCAATGGAATCATTAAACTATTGGCATATGGTGTGTTTTTTGGAGGTGCTTATGGTTGTGTTTGGCATTAATGGAAAGGAGGATAACAAAAGTAATTATATGAGAAAGTTGAAAATGAAATTACAGAATGGAAACCTATTAATATAAATGGACTGAATGCAAGTAGATATCCTTGGGCTTAAAACATAAGATAATGGGAATATAAATTAGTCAAATTATATGGATATTTTAGAGTAAGGAATTATATATTATGAAAAGGATGAAAGATTTTTTGTTAGAAGAGAAAGAGAAGGTAGAGATGGATTCCTTGTATTTGCACCATTTGTAACAGCATTACAATTTAATGATACTGAACAAGATCCAGAATAAACAACCAAATCATAAGTGATGGTAAATTTAGGATGGGTGCCCAAGGATAACATTAGTGATATCTAAATGGGTTAAGAACCTATTGGAACAACAGTACAATGATTTGTATACCATAAGACCTATGAAAACGTGCCTCATAATGAGGATGATGATTAATTGACAGGATTCAATAGAAATATTGCCAATATGGAGGAAGATTATTAAATGCCATTTGTTGAATTTGTAGGTATGGTGAGAAGAGGAGAAGAAGAAGACATATTAAAAGGAAGAAGAAATTGGCCAAGAGAAGGAGTCTATAATTATATAGATTTATGGTTCATGTCTAAATTATATAGATCATTCAATTTAGTAAAGATTTAAATTAAAATAGACTGATTCTTCAGCTGCATATATTGAAAGATTAGTACAAGAATATGATGAAGAATCTGCAAATTTATATCCTATTCCTGCAACCAAAGATAACTTTGATAAACCTCTACCTACTCCCTAGACTCATTAAGCATATTCATTGTTTTTTGGATTGTCATCAGTAATGTCATTAGCTCTATTGGCTATAAGAAGATGATTCAATATATCATAAATCCAATAAATAATAAAACATTAATCTATTATAATAAAATAGAAATCATTCAAAAACTACAATCTATTTCCCAACATTCTTATTTTAATCCATTTCTGTATGTAATCTAATAAATTCATTAATTCCATTTTGATCCCATTTTATTTTTGTTATTGAATCTACTGGAATCTCAATATCCCCATTAGCAATATATGGTAAAACATATTATTTAAATTCCGCTATCAAATTCTTCTTAAAATCATCAGGTCTTGATCTATTAAAATATATTTATAATCTACCTTAAAGTTGTATTTATTAAACTTATTCTTTTTTGTAATAAAGATCCTAAATTGAAATTTTCAATTAATCCTCCTGTAATTAAACCATATAAAATCCATTTTCCATCTATTGCTAAACTATCCACAGTTAACTTATAATTCTATTTACCTATACAATCAAATATTGCATTCACTCCTTAAGGAAAAAGAGTTTATAATTATTTGAATTATTCATCAATTGATTCATCTCTTATGATAATATTTTTTGTGTATTTTTTTATAGCATCAACTTTTCCTTTAGAACAACTAGCTATAGCATTGATACCAAAGATATTGCTTAATTACAAAGCTGCTTATCCAACCCCTGATGCTGCAGCATAAATTAAACATGAGTCTCCTTTTCTTAAATCCGATAATTTAAATAAAAGATAAGCAGTCAAATAAACCTCACAAATTCCTCCAGCCTATTTAAATGAATCTCGTTACAATTTCTAAAGGGATATTAGCAGGAACATCAATTAAATGATCTTTATTTACTACCACAAATTAAGAATATCCACCTCCTGGTAAGATACTCATAACTTTTCTTATTCTGTTTCCATTTTCATCTAGTTCATAACCAGCAAATTCCAATCCTAATATAGATGTACTTCCTTTGGGTATAGCATACAACCCTTATCTTTATAAAGTATCTGCTCTATTTATTGAAGTTGATTTGATCTCAATTAATGATTAGTTCTCTAATGGTTTTGGTATATCTGATTCTCCTAATTTAAGTACTTATGGACTACCATATTCTTATTGAGTGACCTTTAAGTTATATTGATAAATACATGTTTCATTTTTTTATTAAAAATTTATAATTTATGATAATATTCAATATCAAACTTTAACTTTCTTAGATATTTAAGGTTCTTCATTTCCAACATTTTCTGATTTATTAATTTATTCATCTATATTATTTATTTATTCTTATTATATTTCTTATTTTTCTTCTTCTAAAAATTAATCAATTTCATTTAAGAAATCTAATTCTACTTTTTCCTTTACTTTCTCTGCCTATTTCCTAGCCTTGTAATTACCTTTTGCTTATTATATTGAATTTTCAATATTTTTTTCATTTTATTAGTTTCTTCTAATATATACCTAATCCAATTTGATGTTACTTTCATTAGCTTTTAATGTTGCTTAAGTTAATTCAACTTAATCTCTTTCCTTCTTTATTTTATTTGGTTCATCCTTTTTATTCTAGAAATAATTGATTAAATTAATTGTGTTCTTAGAATTAATAATCCTTCTACCATCTCTATCTCTTGATTAATCCCAATTTATAATCTTTCTTCTAGTTTATGCTTAATTTTTCAATAATGATCCAAAACCACCTTTACCACCTAATAATATTCAAGTTTCATGACCTTATAATCCTAAAAACAAGGTTATTGTGCATAAATCACTCAATTGAGAAATATTTGATAAAAGTCTTCCTCCTATATGATACTTTTGTATGTCCTCTGGAATTCCGAGTTCCTAACCTACAAAAACCTTTATATCATTAATATCAGATCCTCTGAAATGTAGATGACTGCCTTCTGGAGTTTAAATAAATATTTAATAAGTCATTAATAATATATAAAGAATTATCAAACATTTTTGAATTTGTATTCTTTTTCAAAAGAATTCAGAATCTTTTTTTTGATGCTTGTTAAAAAGTACTATGTTTTAGCATAAAGTCCTTAGTTCTTTTTCACTGACTAGAAATATATTAATCATATATATTATACATCTTCTTAATGTTATTTCAGCTTAATAATGTTTTGATCTTATATTTATTGTAAGTTCATCATTTACTTTTACATCTATTAATATTTCTCATTAGATATATGCCATTAAGCTGAACTACCTCTTTTGTTAAATCTATTCAAAGAAAACTATTTAGCAATATCTAAAACCCTCTATTTCATTCTACCAAATATTTAATTCTAAGATAAATTCTATTATTAATTTTAATGTTGAGATACTCTCTAATTATATATAATTACTTTATTACTTCTAAATTTTCAGCCCAATGAGGAACTTTCTTATTATTACAATATAGTCTCTTTTTTTTTGGAGTATGCTAATTTTTGTTTTCAATATTTTATATGTTAGTTTGTATGTTCTAACTGTTAGCACAGAAATCTTCAGGAAATGGAAAATCAAATACAGAAGATTAAAATTGAAATCCACACTCTTATATCATATTATCATCCCCAAAACTACTACTCTTCCATTTATAAGAATGATGATCTAGATTTGAGGATTCATTTGTATTATAAGAAGTAGCACGATATTCAACTGAAGAATTCTCATACCATTCTGATTTATTTGGAGTCTCCATCAGTTATTGTTCTGCCTCTTGTTCATTAATTACTATCTGTTGTTTGTTTGAATATACTAATATATCCTTAAAACCTGATGACTTTTTATATTCATCATAAATCTCAATTGATTTCAATTTTGGGATTAATTCTATTGGATCTACTGATTCTATTAATTTCATTAACTCTCTCTATTCCTCTGCTTCTTTCTATTTATCTACCTTTATCAAGGAAAGTTACTAAGACAATAAAGAGGGTTTTCTGAACTATATTGGAGTTGCACTTTCAACTTGATATACATTGCATTTTGGATATTCTTCAGATAAATTATTATTTGATTTCAATATGCTCTATCCTCTCAACTCACTTACTTATCTCATAATCATATCTGTTGGACAATTTTCTTTCTCTTTTTAATTTTCAATCACTTCATCATTAAAACAATCAGATTATTCAGTCTTTAAAAACTATTCATTTAAACATTCCTTTGTCTTTGAATCCTTCTAACCTTCATCTTCTTGTTCCTCTGTAACTGCTTCTAATTGTGACTGTTTCTAAGAGCATAACATTAAAAAATTTATTATCTTCATTGTTTAACTTACAGTCTCTAATACGCTATTTGTTACTAAAGTCATTCTTTATTGAGTTTGTACTGTAATTGAAGATGCAGCAGCTGCAACATGAATTGATAGTGCTAATATTTCTTTTGAAATCTCTTAATTCATTTAAATTTAAAATAATAAAATAACAAGCGCAAAAATTAAGCTAAATTATTAATGAATAAAATATATATTAATAATAAACAAAAGTAAAATTATACTTTGATTGATTCTTTTTATAGAGTCAAAGTGATTAGGATTAGTACATCTTTTAATTCAATTAATATTTAATTTTCATTGAAAAAATTTCAATCATATTTAGAGATTAAAAATGCTTTTAGTCTTGTGAATTTGTAAACATTATCTAATTCAAAAAAAATATGAATAATCTTTTTAATAAAAAAATGGTTAAGGATTATAAATATAATTCTTTAAATAATTTATCTTAAAAAAGGTATAGTTATTAAGTTTAATAAAATTAAAATTTATAATATTTAACATAGATTGTCAAATTCATTATCCATTCTTCTAATTCATATTTGGATTAAAATTATAAAATTATTATTATTATTATTATTATTATTATTATTATTATTATTATTATTATTATTATTACCAGCAAAACATCATCATTTATTACTCTTAATTCATTGTTCCATAATGAAGATAATTTTAATCTTGATAATATAACTATGGCATTTATTATTGTAATAACATCTGTTATTATTATTAATAATACATCATCTATTACATCATAGCAACTTATAATTATTATTATTATATTGATTTTAATCCATTTTCTAATTATTACTATTTCTAAGGAGTATTACTTAAATTTTAATTAATAGTTTATGATTTTTAATTACAATTTTTTTAATTATTTTTATTCTGCTTATTCTTTTCAGTTTAAACTATTTTTTAAGTATATCTTTTAACATTATAATTTGATTAAGCAAACTTTAATACAATCTAACCATGATTATTCAATTAATTATTATCTTAAAATTTATTTAGTAATGCTAAATATTCTTGTCTTAATGGTTAATCTAAATATTCAAATAGCCTTTAAATTGGATAATTAGCAAACTAATCATTGACCAATCTCTTAAAAGAACTATAATGATAAAAGTTATCTAGTACCTTTCTGAGATTGTTACCTCTTCCCATAATTTAGTTCTCCATTATGACCCACCATAAACTATGGCTTTCTCTGCAACATTGCTACCATACTTATCCATAGACATTGGTAGAAAATCTTTAATGAGATATTAATCCATCAACAATCTTTTATGAATCTCTTATCCCTTTTCCAATATTGATTATATAATATAATTAGCATATTATCTTCTAGTTAAGCCAGAACTATTTTCAATAGCTCTAATTATGATGTCATTGCATAATGTCTTAGTTTAAACATCGAATTATTTAGGATATATATCAATTATCTTATTGACAATTAAACATCCATATTAATCAGTTGATAATTCAAATTTTTAATTGTTGTTATTGTTCAGAATCTATCATCTCATTTAATATTATACATATTTTGACACCACTTAAAGAAGTTTATATAAATGATTCCCTTCTAAAACTTCAAGACTTTTTTAAATAATTTGATTTGCAATTTTGTCTACATAAATTTTTTTCATTTAATTTGTATCAGAATGAATAAAATTTAGGTAATTATCTAATTATTAAGGAGAATCATTAGGATTTTAGACCATCACTTCTAATCCCTTCTACATTACTTTACAAGCATATAGATCTTTTATTAATTTATTTATTGATTAAAATATTCTATCAAGTATTATATTTTTATGAGAAGGAGGACCTAAATGTTATTTTAATAATATATACCAACTTCTAGTATTTTCTCAAGTAAGAAATGCTTATACTTATCTAAACTTATATTTTCTATATCATCTCTTACGAATGTATTGAATACATATTCTTTTTCTTTTAAATTTGCATTTTAGTATTCCAATTACATTTTTCGTGAATTTTTGGTCAACTTCTCATGACTTAAGTATGATGACCTAATAGATTTACCGTTCAATAATACATGTCAGCTTAAAATGCTGAGACAAGAGAAGGTCTTTAAGTGTCATTAATCAAGACTTAGTTTAATTATTAGTTAATTTCATCAAATAGATCATCTAATAAGATATATTAAAATAATAATAACCTTCTTAATGTAATTGATCTTCAAAAAATGCTGTACTAAATGCTTTTGTAGTATTAGTATTCTCAAATAGAGTAGGAGTTGCAGTTGATCCACTTTAAGATGGATGGCATTTTAATTCTTCATCTTCTTTATTTAATTCTTAAGGGACATAAGGTTAGGCCATGTGTTGAATTTTATTAAAATAATTAATATTTTACATAAAATTCCAGCACAAAATTTGAAAATATATTGAATAACATAAATCTATAATCAAATACTAATTTAAAAATCAATCAAAGTCATTATTATTCATCTAAAATCAATATCTTATAATGATAAAATTTATGATAGATTTAATATATAAATATATAAATTATAATAGCATTGAAAAATATATGTAACTAGTAGATAATTTATACTCAAATAACATTATAACTTCTTAAACATATAATTGTTAACAATATAAAATGAATACCTACATTAAAAATATTTTAATTAAATTAATTACAAAGGTTCCTTAATGACATTATCAGATTGTGATTTAAGGATTAAATATTATTATATTTAAAAATTTATTCAATGCGTAATCTAACACCAGATAAGGCTTTCAGATTGAAAAAGCAAAGTATTTTTGAGTTGAATTTCAGTGAAGAACCTAAATCTACTAAAATTCATAGTCGATAAAACAATCAACCAATAGAAACATTATTTTAGGCATATACTAAAAATAGAGTAATAAAGTTAAAAGAAACACATCAAATGCATAGCAAAATCCAATCTCTCAAATCAAAACTAATTAGAATTTTTAAGGATAATAGATAATAATCCCCTCATGATGTGTTCACAGATTAAAATGGAAAATAAATTTTAGAAGAATTAAAGGAATCTCATATCCTAAATATGTCAGGGTTATAACGGATGGTCAATTCTAATGAAAAAAATCCCTTCTTTCTTAATCAACCTAGGCACTCCAGTGGGTTAAGAAAATGTTATTTTCGATATCCTACTGATGCTATTGAGAAATTTGATAGAAGTACTGCAGCAACACCCTAGCCACTCTTAAGAAGGTATACACCATTGTTAAAACCAAGAGTAAGAAATTCTGAATAATGGAATGAATTAAATGCTTGGCAAACAAAAGATGAGTCTACTACCAATTTATTTTGACTTAAAGTATTGTATAATCTATAGGTTCTTTCACCAAATATAAATATAAGAATACAAAAATAATTCTAATTATATATTATTTTACAAAAATAAAGAATCATTTAAGAATATTTATCAACAGTTATTCAGCTTAGGAGAGTTCCTTTGTGCAAATTTACTGTTGATTTATTTATTAATTAAAAATCGACATTGTTAATTCTTTTTCAGATTATAGAATTGCATTTAATCGTTACTATTTATTGTTAAATAATTCTAATATTTATGCAAATTGCAATTCATGATACTGTCCTAATTCAGGAATATCAAATATTAATTAATTTTTCTGTTCAACATCTTATTTATATTAACTAATTGTAAGTTCTCTTTGATAAAATAATTCTAATTTATTAAATAATTCTTATTAATAAAATTAGACATAATGATATAACTAATCATTATTTTTTATACTTGAAAAAAATGAACTGCAATTAGTAGATGCAAAAGATGTTTATGATGCCTCCAAACTTTCAACTTAAATATTTTCTAAAGTTGAGCAAATATCATCATCTAAATAAGATAATTATTTAAACAATTATCGTATTTTAAATTAGATATTATATTACATAGATAAATGATAATTAAATCCCTATATTTAATTATCAAAGAGATTATTATTAGAGAGTGATGGTTAATCTTCAAATTGTTTAACTACAATTTTACTCATTTTTTGACTTGATTATTAATGCTCTCTTATTTATTATTTGAATTATTCAATTCTAAAAGTGGATAACAATTCAAATAATTAATAATCATAGATGTATTAACCAAAAATATAGATAAGCATATTTTCATCAGTTTTATAATCAACAGTTAACAAAGGACTTAAATCAACTGCCAAATGAATTAATTTATTTAATTCTTCAGAGTATTCAAAATTATAATATCCATATTAATGAATATTTGTTTAATTTGTACTAATATCAATTAAGTATTAAACATAATCTCTTAATTCTTTGAATTTGATATTTTTATTTCTACTTTCAATCATTTTTAATCTAAATTCTTCTCTTAACATTACTATTATTTCTCCTCTATCTGATTTTTTTAACCATTAACTAACCATAAATTATCTAACTGTATAATTAGGTAAATTATATTAAGGGAAAGTAGTATCAATTATATTATTAAATTAAGCAATAATACCTTTTGTTTCTTATTCCAATATGCTTATCCATCCTGTATAATGATGCCAAAGTTCAATAAACTATTATAAATTACATTTTTAAAATTTAATTTCCAAATAAAGACTATATATTTTTATATAATCATGTAAAGTGTAAACTTACATAAGCAATTATGGTAATTATATATATACTTCTAATCCTTATCTGAGCTTTAAAACTAATTCTTAATTTTTATTAGCAAATTATTTTGATTCTTAATATTCGTTAAATGGAAAAAGTTATTGATTCGATTTGTTTTAAAAATATAGAATGGCTTTTTAAAATCCACTATAATTAACTTTTTGTTCTATTGTTATTGGAATTTGCTTTAATTATTGTCGAACACTTTTTATTGCATTACTAAAAGGTATTCCTCTAATTGGAATGAATACAATGCTTTAAATGATTTTTTTCCAATTTTATGATATTATTAGATCTCCCTTAACATTTAAAAGTCTATGACATTCAATTTGAAAACAACCTGATGTTTGAATAAATAATTAGTATGTTGCTTTTGAAGTTAATAAAATGTTATGGTACTCTTAAATAGTCAAAAAGCTTGTCAATAAAGACAATGTTTTTAATGATAACTTGGAGAAAATACTATAAAATATTTAATTTCATAATACATTTGCTTTTTGTTATTGCCAAACAAAAATAGATGAGGGTCCTTTTTTTTAGATTTGGTCTAGTTCTTTTAAGATTAGTTATTACCCATTTTTGAATAATTATCAAATTATAATAATTTAATTATTTAATTTTAATTAAAAATCCATTCTTTTTTCTAATATCTTGATCAATTTAAATGAAATTCTTTTTGTACATTTATAAAAATATTATAATAGAATATATAGTATTAGTAAAGAAAATATTACATTCCAATAATCTCTATCCCATTTCTTTTTTATATAGGGATTATTGACTGAATTTTGATCATTCTATATTTGAATATAATATATATTCTTTTATCTCTTCTGTTATTAATTTACTACTTTAAATTGCTTTTAGAATCTCTATATAATTTGATCTTAGGAATGGTAAGCTAGTTACATATTATGTCAATTTCCCCTAAATAAATATTACTCAAGATTTTAAATGATTATCTATCTTTATGATATTCATTTGAGTTCATAATTTTATTATGAAATAAATATACATTACCTGATTTTCCATCCCCTAATTTTATAATTGATATTAGTTGTATTAAATTGAATTTAAACTTTAATATATCTATCATTTGCTTTTTGATTTTACATGAAAACTATTTCAATATACATCCAATAATCTCTCTTTCAAAAGCCCATATAAATAATTAAAAATAAATAATAGTTTGTATTTGATCCCCTAAAATTCATATCAAATCATTTTTCATAATGTTAAATAGATGAAATCTTGTAAGACTTTTTCTTTGGTTCCTCAAACTTAGTTTGCTCCTTTCCTCTAATGACTACCATCCTCCTTATTTCATTATTCTCAACTAATATCTCTAATAATTCTATTTGACTCATTCTTAATAATAAAAATTAATTAGTTTAATCTCCTTTACTTATGATTATCTCACAAGGTTCAAAATTCAAAAGTAATCAATATTGAGGTTATAGCTAATTTTATTTATCTGTTAATGATTCTAGATTAATATATTGATTCAAAATTAAAAATGACACTTACTGACTAACCTATTTATTTTACTCAAAATCTTTAAATTAAATTTCTTCAATAATCTTCCTAACAGAATTTCTAAAAATTTTATGGATTCAAATTGTTACTAATTATAATTTTTACTGAAGCAGATCTTGGTCAATAATACGATTTTTTCAAATGCTTCTCATGAGTTAAATGTTTTCTTAATATCATTATTTTATTTATTTAAGTTCACTTCTTATGTTTTGATTGATTATGTTTATGTTTTTTTCCATTTAATTTTAATATTATATGAATTTTTACTAATCAAAGTTATTTTTAAGATTTAGATATTTTCTTTTAGATTTCTAAATTTTCAAATTGATTTCTTTAGATTGACTATTTAAACATAATAATCCAAAAAAATGAGATAAAAAATAATTTGTTATGCATATAATAGTATATTGTTATCAAAATGAGTTTTATTACTAAAATACTTTTTGAAATATTGTTGTTGTTTCTTAATCAAAATTACATAAAATGATCTCACCCTAATTATTAGATGTTTCCTTTTCATATTCTTCAATTACAAACTTAAATATTTATGCACACAATCCTTTTGGAAAACCATAAATTCCACTAGAAATAGCTGGAATTGCAACTGACTTCAATCCCAATTGATTGAATGATTGATTTAGTCTAGTTTAATAATTATGTAAATAAAAATACATATTCTATACACATATTTACAATTCCTCTTCTGGACTTTAAGATTCAAAATATTTTGGCCCTACTGCATGAATTATATATTTTATGTTATTTTTTTTAAGTTAGCAACTACTTGTAACAGCCAATTTTGATGTGGGTACAATACCATATTGTTAAATGTATTATTAACATTCCCTTTCTAATTCTCTTCCAGCTGCTTAGAATATTGCACCACAAACTCCACCTCCAGGAAGTAATTCTTAGTTTGCTGCATTTACAATAGCATCAACATCAACTAATTTGACAATATTTTCTTTTATGATTTTGACAGAAAACCTCTATGTTTTAATAAGTTAATTAAACATAATTAAATATATTATTTAATTTTGTATCAATATTTAGATAATATGACTTTTAATAATAGTATGCTTAGATAACAAAGAAAGTATATTTGATTTAATTTCTTTATTTCTATTTTTATCATTATTTTTAATGATGGAATACTTTATAGAATATAAAACTTTTAACTTATATGGATGAATCTTTTGTTAAACTTATATTTATAATTTTTTATTCCAGATATGCATTACTTATTAAAATGAAATAATATAGAAATAAAATTATTTGAATTGTTAAAATGTCAAATAATCATGTAATTGATCATTATTAAAATTGTGCTTAGTTTTATCCTTACTATAATAATTCAAGATTAAAATCTTCATTTTCTTCTGAATTTATATTGTTATTATCTGTTCTTTTTTATATGCTTTCATCTTCAGGATCATCAACTTCTATTATAAATATAATATATATTTACATTAGTATTTATATCTTGGAATACTTGCTGTAGGTTTCATATAATTAGGTTCTTTATAATCTTCATAATCTACAACTTCTGGTTTATTAATAACACTTTTTAATTATTGATATGCTTTAGTTAAATCTAATACTGGTCTTCCAGATGAATTTTAATTTTAATCATATTCTTTACTATCACCTAATATTTCTTAGGCTAATTTCTTAAATTCTTCATATGATTATGGTTTTTAATTATTATTTAGCAATTAATACTGTTATTATATTTTTTATTATTATTATTTAATTTGTTAATTTTCAGTTACAAACATATTGTCTTCTTAATTCTCATCAATTTATGATTATTCATCTTCATTTTATAACAAGAACCCATCTTTAGATTATTCAATTCCTGGTAATTTGAGAATATCATTTTCAACTCTTTTTAATTATTCAAATTTACAAGGAGGTCTTTTAACCTTAGGTTTCTTAAGATAAGATTTTTCAATTTCTTCATTTATCAATATACCTCCAGTTCTAGCATGAATTTCCATTTCTAAACCTTGATGATCTCTAGTAATTACAAATGGATTTCCTGTAATAATAATTTTCTTAAGATTAGTAAAATTACGAGCACATATTAGATTATGTTAATTTTCAGCAATATTATAAGAGAAATCTAAAGTTTCTAATTTATTGAAATATCCAACAACTAATCTTTCAGTATGTATTCCTCTTAAAAAATTCTTACTAATATTTAAGGTTTTAAGTTCTGGTATCTATCCTAACACTTCCCATAAGACTGATGCTGTCTAATTAGATTAAAATGCATTATCACTAATATCTAATAATTCTAATTTTGTAAATTCTGCCATATCTGTTGGTAATTCTAGTAATTCATTTCTAACTAAATATAATTCCTTTAATTCTGTAATATGTTTTAGTGAACTTATAGCTTCTTTTGTTAAGTAGTTAAATGATAAATCAAGATGTTATAATTATTCAAATGTATTTTTATGAGTTATTTCAATATTTCTAATGTTGTTAGCACATATTTTTAAAACTTTCAAAGTTGGAAATGAGGTTAAATCTTCTAATTATAATTAATTCTCAGAGACATCCAAATCTTACAAATTTAGAAAATATTAAAAATCCTCAGGTTTACTATTTTATATTCGAAGTCCTAAATAAATTATGCCAATACTAAACTTGATAAATTTGCTCTAATAATTTCATGTGGATTATCATTATTAGTTACATTAATCATTAAAAACCCATCTAAACATTTTACTCTCATAACAGTGTCATCAGGAATATAGTAGATTTTTGTTTTGAAAGGATTTTTAGTATGTGCCTTTCTCTTCTTTTTCCCAAGTAATGGCAATTAGAAATGGTTCATTTTATTAGAGGCTATAGGAAATGGGATTTAAGAGTTAGCTTTATTTCTCATAATAAATGATTATTATTATTATATTAGTAATTTGAAATTATGCAAAGATCAATAGGCTATATAAAAAATAGAACAAAGGAGTTATAATTAAAGAAATAGAAATACAAATCACCTGATCTAAATAATAGTATAAGAATATACAAACTACCTCCTAAATGGGTTGATAAAATGGAAGAAACTAGAGATACTATATAAAAAGTTGGAATTTTAAATTAGGAAATTGAAAAGTTGAAGACTTCAAAGGATGTTGGGCCAAAAGCACAATTCAATGAATAAGTAATACAAGGGAAACTTGATTAAGCATTACAGGTTAAAATCTGAGTATAGTAGATGATTAGAGATATTGAAGAGAATTTATAAATAATGGAAACAGATGATTGTGAAAATGATCTTGAATATAAAATAAAATAAAATGCCAAAATGTGTTTGGGAATATCTTTAAAAGAAGTCACTCCATAATTAAGAAATTATTAAAATTAAATGTTGAGATAAGTGCAATTAGAAAGACCATCACAAAACTTAAAAGTTGATTTTGAATAGGAATATATTGAAACTTTAATTTTGGATAGAAATGATAGAATCAAATAATTAGGAGAGAAATTGAAAAAAATGAATGAGTTATTTATTGAAATGAATCGATTAGTCATAGAGTAAGGTACATTATTGGATCGTATTGATTTCAATATTGATCAAACTTTTACAAGAATTAAAAAAGGAAAATAATAATTAGTATAAGCAAACACAAAACATGAAACTAGTGATAGAGCCTAGAAATGTATTTGTGTTTTAGTTGGCTTAAATATTTTTATTGCATTTTTATTTGTAATTAAACATACATTATTTTGAATATTGAAATTAAAAAATTTATATATAATTATTGTCTCAAAAATCAATAAATATATTTTTTATGGGAATTTTGAATCTAAGAACTAAATCACATCAAAATAATAATTAAAAAAATCAACTATTACTATCTTAAAAAAATGTTGCCATTTCACTTTAACCAAAAAATATAAATATTTAGATAAAGGTATAAATTATTAGATGATAAGAATAATATAAATTAATGAAAGGAAATATAGAGTAAGTGATCAACAACAGTATCCACATATTAATTGGGAATCATATTAAGAATATTCTAAAATTTATATATTATCTAAATAATATAATTTAATTAATTAATTAATTTTAAATTTGTGAAATGTATCACAAATATTTTCATATAAAATTTATAAAGAAATATTATTAAGTTTGAAAATTTAAAAATGCCAATAAACATATTATTTTCATTAAAATCCATGATTTCAGAAAGGAGATTTGAACTCAAAAGTTCTTACATTATTAATTCTATAAATAAGTAAAAAGTTTACTTTAATTCTAAATTTTCAGCTTTAAAGAAATAAGAATGCTGTAAACATAGTTATACATCATATCTTTTTTCCTAAAAGTCAAGCATTTTGAATAATAATTATTAAGCCTTACTCTCTTTGATATTTCTATAATCAATAGCGAATAAATTATTTTTAGATAACCTAATAATTTATTATGTATTCATATTTCTATCAAACATCGGATTTCCTGTTAAAAGCATGTGAAACACTTGAGCTAGACTGTATATATCACATTTATTATTGTAAAACTATCCATTAATAATCTCAGGAGCAAAGTACCCAATAGTGCCACATTTTTCAGATAAGTAACTTAAATTATCTTTGAATGCTGAAAATCCAAAATCAATGATTTTAACACATTTATGATCATCAATTTCTTCTATCATAATATTATCCATTTTTATATCTCTATGTATAATGCCAAGATTATGAATGTGATTTAATCCAGATAAAATTTTCTTCATTATAGATTTTACTTTGAGCTTACTTATGTTGTTAGCATAAGTGTTGACAAGTTAATTTAAAGTACCACCTGAAAAATACGGATACATAAGTATTATTTGGTCATTCTCAAAGTAATATTCGACCATACTCGCTACATTTTCATGTGGATTTTCAGCAAGGTATAAATTGATTTATAGCTCTCTCTCTATGAGAAAATGATTATTTTGTTGTATTTTTGCAACAAATACTTCATTATTCTCTCGTCTACGACATTTTATAATCTAAAGACTATTTATATTTTTTATACCTCTCCATTTTGTGTTCTTTTAATAGTCTCAAGCATTTCATAGTTTTCTGTAAAATTGTCTTAAGCTATCTTTTTAACAAGGGCTTAGTGTCCTAATGTTCCACTTTAGATATCAAAAATGAATTTATCTTGAAAGTTCTGTTTATATTGAAAGGTTACCTCATAGAAATCTTCACTATAATATATATAATTTAAAATACTGCTTTATCCAAGTCATCAATTTTATATCATCGATATTAATTGTTATCATCTTATTGATTTTTTTCTAATATAGTGTAAAAATTTGTATTATACATCTTAAATTTCTATATAACTTTTGAATATTAAAATTTTTGAGGTTCTGGTGTGTGATATAAGTTGAGATAATGCTTTAGATTAAGTTTAAGAGTATTCTAAATTATTCAATTTTTGTATGCTCATCTCTTGGTTTTAAATTAAATTATTAAAAAGTAGAAAATATCTTCATAATAAAAATATGGATTGTTTGATTTTAAGAAAATTCTTGGATATTAAAATTTAAATATGTGTTTAGTATTTATATTCTTTTTTCTAAAAATATAATATTAAGGTATAAGTATTGAAAAATGTCATAATTGAAATAAAATCCTTTATAATTTAATACGTTCAAAATCTAAAATACTTTAAATGAATCAAATATAATTAGTCTGGCTATGTTTTATTTGAATAATTTTTATTTTATTTTTACCTTTTACCTTTTAAGCCTATAAAACAAATTAATATCATTCTTTTTCTAATCCTTCAGATGACTTTGCTCTTTATTTTTAATTTATTTACACATTTTTATTTAGATTATTCAAAATCATCGAGTTTGCTTTAAAATGTTTATAGAATGACATAATTCCTAATCCTTTTAAGTATATGTTCTTTTTTTTAATTTCTAAACATAATTTTATATTTTTTTTTGAATCAAGTAATGAGTAAATAAGTTTTAGTGAAATTTTAAAATCTAATATAATATAATAATATTAAAGGATTATATGTGATAAATCAATAATCTAATAAATTAGAATTTAATTAATTTATTTCAAGGGATACTTTAAAATTTAGAATGAAGATAATTGAATTAATATTTTAATCATTTAAAAATTAATTCACAATCAGTGCAGAATTATGCTACATTTGATAATATTGTGATTTTTCCACATTCTTACTCATATTTTTCCTAGAAATTCTGAATTACTTTTTGGAATATATTGATAGCTTGTTCTCCTCCATTTCTTATTAAATCATCTTAATCATTTAAAAATTATTGAAGAATACTATAAAATAATATTGTAATTGAAGTGAATTTTTTCTTTAGGAAAGTCTCAACCAATCTATTTTAAGCAATAAATAAATACATTTAAAAAAATACTTCATATAGTAGTGTTTATTTATCAATGATATTTAATGGTTTAGATATCATTAAAATTTGATAAATGTTATTAAATTTCATTTTATGACCTTGTAATATAATGCTTTAACATTGTTTTTAATCATCTTTTTTTTAGTAATTTTTTATTTGATATTCTAATTCATTTTAAAAGGAAGGTCCAGCTAACTCAATAATTCTTTTTAGAGCTTAAGAATTATAATTATTAATATCTATTGGACAAACTAAACAATCTGTTGGGGGAGTAAAATCTATTTTGGAATGAATAGTTTATCTTAATTTTTCACCTTTAAAAATAATTTAAAATATTTCAACTATATTGTCTATCACATCAACTATATGTATGGCCATTGGATTTTTAAATTTAAATTTTAGAAATGCTGAATAAAATATTTAAGCACATTAATATTTTGGAAAATCACAATTTCTTGCTGAAATAGGTGGTATTGCTATTGATGATATTTTATATTCCTGACATTTTTGTAATCTATGAATATATATAAATTATAAAAGTATACATATTAAAAATGCATTTACTTAATTATTCTATTGACTTTTAAGGGTCTTAGGAATTATATTTAGGACCAACAGTATGAAATATATATTTTGGTCCATTTTCTAATCCTAGATTGTAACTTTTAGTAACAACTACTTCAGAAGTATCAAGTTATTTTTTTCCAAGTTTTTAAAACATCATCTTAATTTCTTAAACTAATAAATTTTCACCTGCAGCTTGAAAGATAGCTTTACAAATTCCCCCTTGATTGGAAAGATTAGGGTCAGTTACATTTACAATAGCTTGAATTCCTTTGATTTAAGTAATATCTTAATTATGAATAATGATTGATTAATCAAGTAATGTAAATTTCAAAGGATCTAAGTATTAATTATTTTAATTACTTTTTTTAACAACAATCCACTTTTAATTATTAAATTATATTTCATTCCAAATAATAGGATCAGGACTCTTGTTACAAGTTTCTTCAAATGCTTTAATTAATATATTCATTGATAAATTATTTTGATTTACTATCAATTTTTTAGAAATTTCATCCAAACATAGGCAAAATGAATTAATTTTCTAACATTTTAAAGTATACAATAATCTTAATAAATATAAAATAAAACTTACATATCACTAAAGCAATTGGTTAATTAAATCTATCTTTCAACAGTCAAATTTTGATTTGGACAAAATACTAATAGAATAGAATTACAACCAAAAATTGGTACATATGATCTTATTGATTACAAATAATGTTCTTTATCTTTTTAAGCCAAATTTACAATTTTATCAAGTACCTTATCTAATTTTGAATCTAATTTTATAAAAGTAGGTAAGCTTTATTTAAATTAATATTTATCAACAGGAATAACTACACAATCAATTTAACAAAATTTATAATTTTATTCCCTTTATGCCTATTCACAATCTTATTTGAATTTAATTTATTGAATATGAGTGAATAATGATAAATTAGAGTCTTAATGATTTAGTAATTGATTAAGATCTTAATTCTAATCCTCTTTTTTATAATTATTAAGATGTACAGGAGAGATTTTCATTAACATTTATTTTTTAATGTCTTAAATCTTCTGCAAATTACCACGTTTTCTATAAAAATAATTTATATTCTTTTAAACTTAAGTCCAATTTTCAATGAATGATTCATCTAATTAAAGTGATAATAAGTAATTAAATATATCATCTATTTATGGTCTTTGGTTTGCTTGAGAAATTAGTTTATCTAATAATTATTAAATTTAATTAATTTCTTATACTATAATTATAATTTATTTAATTACAGTTTTCTTAATCTGCTTTATAGTTAATTTCTAGAACCATTTTGAAAAATTTACCAATTGAATATGAATCATGAGTTTCAGATATATATTAATTTTCTGACATTTCAGGTGGACAATAAGGTTATAGTTCATTACGATTTGGAGACTAATTATAATAAAGTTTGTAATTAAACAATTAATTAGATTATTCAACATTTTCTATATTTAAAAATAATTATTAATGAAGTTTATAGAGATCATAACATACTTAAAGCATAAATTTGATTAAATCCTTCTATTCTAATATAATATTATCTATCTAAATAAATAGAGTAAGAAACATAGTATTTGATTAAAGGAGAGGAGTAGATGAGATTATAATTGATTAATTTGATTATTAGAGTCTATCAATTTATTATTATTTTAAGTTTTCACTTTAATTATGGATGTTGTTTTAATTTATATTTTAGTTTAAAGAATTTCCTTAATTTTAATAATTCTATTATTATTTTTTAGAGAGATTTGCATTATATTCCTTTCTATATTATGCAATTTCACTTTCATCTGAGAAGTTTGATTTCTAAATTTCATTATTTTTTATATTCTATTGAATATATTATTTAAATTTTTCAGTTATAGATGTTGAATTTCCTTAAGGAATTGTTTAATAAATATCATTAATAGTTAAAGTGTTTGGATTTTTAGATTGAAAATATTTTTTGATAAGTTCATATTCTTATTAAGTTTAGGAAATCAATATAAATTTAACATCTATAAAATTCTATCTTTAATCTTCATAAATTAATTTAAAAGTATTTAAAAATTCTATAATAGAAAAATCTGCATTATCACAGCCAAGTACTGGTATTAAAATAGATTTTATTTTTTGAAAAGAGATTTCATAAAAACTAATTTCTATTAGACTTATTAATATTACATATTTTGAAATAATATCTCTAATAAAAGTGACATTGATAACTCTTTAGTATTTATATCTTATTTTGGTACTATACAATGAATGATGTATTTAAATTAATTATGATTTATAGATAATGTAATGACAGATGTCTATTAAATTTAACTTAAGATTGTTTAGTTTGTTTTAAATTCATTGCATTGTTGTTATAATTAATAATGTAATTATTATAAACCAGTGGCTTTTAATAATGCTATATCAGATGGTAATACAATTGCATCAACTTATTATTGAAATATGTCTCCTTAAATTAATGATAGCATTTTAATATTTTATAATTATTTAATTAATGATCACCATTTCTAATTAGGAGTTGACTCCATGTAGGTTATATCTTTTAAAAACTGATAAATTAAATATAAAAAATAAATAAGAAGAGGGATTGACATTTACATTTATATAATAAAAAAGTAAGCCATTAAAATTAGAGGAATAATATAAGTTTGATTGTAAGGTTGGAAATCATTATTTAATATGTGAAAAACTTAATTTAAAGGCTGAAGTTTATGTTTTTAAAACTTAATAAGAAAGAGATAAATATTAAGCTTAAGAAGAAGAATTTAAAGCTACAAAATCTGAATAATAATATGATAGTGAAGATATTTCAAATGAAAATGATGAAATTATGAGTGAAGAAATAGGAAAATTACCTTAAAAAAAGAAAAAATCATTAAAATGGTCAACTGTTGAGACCTCTTCGACTTATTATTCTAAAAAAGAAAATTAATCAACCACTTCAGATATGAGTGAATAATTATTACCAGAAAAAAGAGGTAAACGTAAGGGCTCTGATCCTGTAATATAAAAAACAGAATTTATTGTAAAACCTAAAATCTAAAGAGGAACGAATTAAATTAATAATTTATTATAAATTCAATAATATGCAAAAATAACATCAAAAAAATAAATAACAATCTCATAAGATTAATTATAATTACTCAAACATAATTGGGATGTTTAAAAACTGATTTATGAATATCTTATTAATTAATATTCTTATTAATGAATCTCTCATTTATAAATCAATAATACTTTAAATTTAAATTCTACTTAACATTGGGATATAATCAATGAATATTAAATAATAGAATTCAATTGTTTTATAGAATTATAAATATTTTAAAGCCTTATTAAAATAAAAATTTTTCTATTAAATTAAATTAAATGAGTAATTAAGAAAGGATAATCATAAAACCACTTTAAAGAAAAACTAAAAAGTCACCATAAGAAAATAAAAAAGAAATAAATGTAGATGAAGATAATTATGGACTCTCTTACTTTGAAAATGATTAAGAAGAGTTTTAAACTTTATCAGAAGAATTCTTTGGAAAATGTATTCTTCTAGATAATAAAGATGATGATGAAATATAAAAAAGGAATAAAGTTAAAGATAATGAATTCTGTTAGTTAAATCAAATTATACAAAAAAATACTTATCCTATTGAAATAAAAAATTAAGAAAAATAATAGAGTTTTAAAAATGATGAAAACTTTGAATCATTAGAAACTAGATCTATCATAAGTGATAGTGAATATTTTCATTAGGAAGATTTTCTTATGATATAAACGAGTGAAATAAATTATTTATAGAACTTGAATTACATTTAAGAGTCTGTTGGGTTAAATAAAAAACAATACAATTTTTCAAAATAAAAGTTAAATAACATTACTAATGTACATTTACCACTAAAAATTTAAAAGAAAAACATACTAAAGATAAATAAAAAGGCTTGATTTTGTATATATTATTTATTAATCTCGAATATAAAATAATTTAAAAATATAAAATTTACATATATGTCAAAGAGATATTTTATCAATAATTTAGATAGTCCATTAGGATAAGAGTTCTATTCATAATTAGTAAAAGAAGATACTGAAGAAGGTGTGCATATGGCAACATATACTATTGATGATCCAAATAAGATGCCACCAAAAGGTTTTAAGAAAATATTGAAACGGTATGAACATTACATATTTTAGTTACAAACCTAAGTTGTCTAGAAAAAAGATGCTTGAAGAATGCGATGTTTATGTGTATGATGTAGCTTCCGCAACTTAAACAGATTTAGATTTTGTATGTGATATCTTTAGGAATAGCAAAACAACATTAGAAGAATAGAAAGTATAATTATATACTATTAAAAGGTTTTAATTCTAGTTTCATCTGTTTTAACATGGAGTGCAATGCCAGACAAAGTTAAACCAAAAGTAGAAAAAAAAGTAGATGAAGAATAAGAGGGTGAACAATAAGAGTAACAAGAACAATAATAAAAAAAGGAAGAAGCAGAAGCAGAAGAAAATCAAGAACCAAAAGAAGATGAAAATAATTAAGATTAGGAATAAGATTAATAATAAATTTAATAATAATAAATAAATGAAGTTCCAGAGATTATAGAATATGTGCCTTGGGAAGAGAGTGATTATAAATTGAGAAGTGCTTCTACTTAATATTAATAATTAAAGGAATGGGAAGATATGGTATTAGGTTTATAAAAAGAAAATTTAAAAGTAATCGTTGTATGTTCTGGTTTAATATATGGAAAAGGAGAAATACTCTTTTAAAAATATTTTAAAGTAAACTATTCAATTTAATAATAAGAAAGCTTGGTTATAATAACCATATAAATTAAGTTATTAATCAGATGGTAATAATAAAGTACCAACTGTTCATATAACTGATCTAGTGAAAATGATTGTGAAGGTTTCTGAATCTATTCCAGAGTCAAATTATATTTTTGCTGTTGATAATACTTAAGATAGAACATAAAAAGCTATAATTCAAGGTATTGCAACTGGAGTTGGAAGTGGATGGATTGAATAAAATGATGATTTTTTTAAGGATTTCACTCCAGAAGAAATGGATTGCTTTAGATTACATTTGGATTGTAAAACATCTTAAATGTTCATTGGAAATGAAGAAACTCCATCTGATTTTGAATGGCATTGTGAAAAAGGAATTGCATTTAATGCTAAGAAAATATTATAAGAATTTACATCAATACATAAATTAAGACCTATTAAAATAATTATGGAATCTAAAGCTGAAAATATGAGATTTTAAGATATTTTAAATATGATTAGTGATCATTATAGAATTCCAGTTATTAATTAAGATTAAATATTTAAAGATGCTTAAGATCCAAATTATGTATTTCCATCAGAAATATAAGAAGATTTTAATGAATATTGGCCTGTTATTCAAGAATATATTAATACTAAAGCTCCTGCATAATTGTCAGAATAATTAAAAATTTATTATAAAGTAATTAAATGGAGATTAAGTTAAAATGATTGTTAAAACAGAGGATTTATTTTATAAAATTTTCCAAATTTCTTTGAAGAGGCTGATTTTATTTTCTATCCAAATAAATAGAAATTAAAAATGAAAAAAAAACCTAAGAAAAAACCAGTTGTTACAGAAGAAGAAAAGAAGTAACCTCAAGAACCTGTTGTTGATGAAAATGGAGATCCTATAGAATAAGAATAGGCAGAGGAATAATAATAGGAAGAACAATAATAAGAGGAATAATAAGAAGAAGAATAATAAGAAGAAGAATAACAAGAGGAAGAATAAGAAGGTGGTCCAAAACCAGAGGATTTTTTCCCTGAATCTTATATAGTAATTAAACCATTAGGCAAAACTGATAATTTTGATTATAACAGGAAATTGATTAATTTCTTTAGTGAAAGAAATTTGGATGCTTATTTTATTGATCCAAGAAAGAAAACAAATCATGATACTTTTGAAGATTTAAGAATTTATATTGAAAGAGTAATTATTAATTTTATCATCTTAGAATGGAAGACCTTATAATTATTTATAAAATGAAAAAGAATTAATAGTTTTATATTTTAATTTATAGAAAATTAAAGATTTAACAATAAAATATACTAGAAAATAATCTATTTAAATTTGGAAAGAAATAACAAAAGTGAAAAAAGATAAAAGATAAGATTTGGTTACAAAGTATACAAAATACATATAGGAATAAGAATAAGAATTATAATAAGTCAAACAATTTCCTTTTAGAAATTATTTAATGGATTTTGTTGTGCCTGTTTTGAATGAAGGATTAGTAGAAGTGGCACATATTTTACCTGATGATCCAGTTGAATTTTTAGTATTTGAAATTCTATTATAAAATAGGCAGAATATTTATATAAAAGGAGTTTTAATGTTGACAATGAATGATATTAAAAATTATATATATTTATTCATATTCTTATGGAAGTTGAAAAAGTTAATATTTGGTTAGATTGTGATGTTGGAAATGACGATGCAATGGCAATCATTTTAGCATTGTTTCATCCCAAGTCAAATCTTTTGGGGGTGTCAACCTGTTTTGGAAACACATGGTATTTTGACATAACGACTTAGTCTCGAGAACTGTACAGCCAATACAATCAGAATATTGAGTTCCGTAGGCAAGTCTGATGTACCAGTGTTTAGAGGAGCTGATTGTTCATTAAGATCTGTTAAGGCTTCAGCTGAAGTGCATGGAAAATTAGGTTATATTTGATTTAATAAGATGAATAGGATTATTTGGAGCAGAAAAATTGATCCAGACTTTTGAACCAGTATAAAATATCTCATTGAATGAGCTAATTAAAAAGACTGTTGGTGAATAAAAGGTATTCATATATCTTAAATAATATAGTTCGTAATAGTTGTAACAGGCCCATAAACAAATATAGCAATTTTATTAAGAGATCATCCAGAACTCATCCCTTAGATATCAGAGATTATTTTTATGGGAGGAACTTCAGGATTTGGTAATGCAACACCGAATTCGGAATATAATATTTATTCAGATCCAGAGGCAGCATAATTTGTAATAGATACTTGCAAAAAAAATAAATTAAAACTAGTGATGATTGCATTAGATCTAACATACGTATGATATAATTAATTATTAAGACATGCTTATTAGTTGAGCCTATATAATAGAAGATTTAAGACATCAATACAAATTTTTCAGATTGGTGTCTAGAAATGCTTAAGGAATTTTAGGCTGCCTACAAAGCTGAAGAATTTGATTTCCCTCCTATTCATGATCGTAATACATATTCTTTATATATATATTATAGCCGTTGCTGTGTTTTATGCACTTTAACCTGAACTTTATACAACCAAACCACTTTATGTTGCTGTAGATTGTGAATCTAAATTATGTTATGGGAGAACAGTAGTTGATAAACATGGAATTTTAGGAAAAGAACCAACTCTATTATTCGCCAGGAGAGTAGTGGTTGAAGAATTTTGGAATTAAATGATAGAAGCCATAAAAATAGCATCAAAGAATTCTAAAATAGAATGATTGATTCGTTATTTTTTATTTAAAATCTATATACAATTTATATATATATAATATATATACAATTTATATATATAATATTTATATATATTATATATATATACAATTTATATATATAATATTTAATAATAAATATGGCATAAGCGTTGGCAGCAGAAAATTATGAATTTAAAGCTGCTCCAGAAGTAGTGAAACCAAAGACAAAATATAGACCATAAGTAATATAGTAATCAGAAGAACAAAAGGATAGGTTGAGATTTAAATTTATATTAAAAGTTCATTACTTGGATGCAACATAATGTTTGATAAGAGAGTTATAAGGGGGAATACTTATGCAAGTGTATAAACTTAAGGTGATAAGAAATTAATGACTTTGAAATCATTCAAAAAACCTACCTAAAAAGCAGTTACATAATAAAACTATCCAAATAGGCTCCTTAAACATAAACAACTTATCTACATCCTTAAACACCAAGACCATTTTAGAATCGTGTGAATATTGACATACAAACTGATGAGTATCTTGAAATTCTAACTGATAAACCTCCAGAATAAGAAATGGATGCCTAAACAGATTATTATATAGATAAGCCTCCTGATAGATTATTTGTACCAAAGAAAAATGGAATTGATAAAGTATAATAAATATTTATACTATTTTAATAGGAAACATAAATATGGGAAGGTGATCTATTTGATTTTGATTAAGAAGTTGAACCTATTTTATAGGTGTTAATGAATAAAATTTTGGAGTAATCAAGAATGGAAGTATTAGAAGAAGAAGAAATAAAATTGATGAAATTATAATAAAAGCAACATGAAAAATAAAAGACATCTGTTTTATCAGAAATGCAAAGATTAGAAGCTGTTTAATAAAGATTAGATTAAGAAGAAGCAAGAAGAAAATTATAATATGAAACATTTCTTAAAATATAAAAACAAAGTCATTAGAAAATTATATGTAGAACTTTATCAAAATCTTTGATATCTCCTTTAAAATAAAATACATTCAAAAAACTCTAAGATTTAGGAGTTTTTAGAGATCCTTTAGAAACAGCTTTATTATCTGAATATCTACCTTGGATGTATTCAAATATATTGAATGATTTAATTGATGAAGATGGAAATTAAAACAATTTCAATAGTAAATTTTAATATAATATTTAGATATTTTATTTGATGTAGAAGATTCACTTACAAATGCACATGCTAATTCTATTCTAAGAAGAAAACAATTTATTGAAAATCATTATGAAGAAATTGCAAGAAAAAAAAGAGAAAAAGAGGAAATGAAAAGATAAGAAGAAGAAAGAAGATTAAAAGAAATAGAAGATAAAAGATTAGCAGAAGAAGAATTGGCTAGATAATTAGAATAATAGAACTTAGAACAATAAGAAAATTAATAACAAGTGTAATAATGAATTAAGAAATTATGATTAATTTTAAATTTTATAAACTCTATATTAATAGAGACATTTATTGTTATCTTGAGTAAATTTAATATTTAACATGATATTCATTCAGTAATTTAAAATTCCTCTCTTTTTTTATTTAATTTAGGATCTTTAAGTAAATCTTAATATTATTTATGACCATCTTTAACAATATCAATTGCTTTATTTGCATCAAAGATTTAATTATTGAATAAAATTGAATTCTCCTTTTTTCCTTCAAAAGTCTTTATATAACGAAATCTATTTAAAATCAATCTACTTATATCACTATGTTATTTCTCAAAATCATGAAAATCATTAATTTTAAATTTATCAGCTTCCTCAGTGTTCAATACTAATATTTTCCAATCTATTTCACCTTGATCTAAAACACAAAAGGCTCCAATTATTTTAGCTTAAAATATATCCCCAGGTCTATATTCTTTTTGAATACTAAATTCCAAAATATCTAAAGGATCATCATCTCCCTTAAAACCATCATGTAAATCAACTGTTGAATTTTCCCATGTTTATGGAATAAAACCATAATTAAATGGTGCAAATTAAGCATAATATCTAAGTTCTTTTTCATCAGAATTTTTTTTTTTCTTTTAATCTTACACAATTGGATTATATTTAATGGTTTTACTTACTTCAAATTTAGCTAACCTTTCCTTTGGTATCTCGATTCCAACATTTATTATGTTATATTAATCTTTTATTGGATAGATGGGTATATCATGCCAAAAGGATTTTATAGTATCATTGCAATGTAGATTGATTTTATAAGAGAAACCTTAACCTTATTCACTCAAACGATAGGAAAAAGATTGACTATATCTATAAACGATTCGTAAGATGTTCATAATTAAATTATTTAAAAATAAAAGCAAAGAAATTGCATAATTATAGTTAAAATTTGATCATTACCAAGTAACACTTTCTCTATTCTTACCCACTTTATATTATATTTTCCAAATAGTAAATACATATCTTTTAGTAGGGTCTATGGATTCTCTATGAAATTAATATAAATAATAACATACAACAAACTACTAATAATTTAAGTAAAATACTTTGTATAGGAATTACATATAAGTAAAGATTAGAACAAATCTTAATAAATTAACAGCATTCAATCCCCATTCTGGATTATTTTAATCATCACTATACCACCATAACTAATTTAATAAGAAATTCATTACATGATATTATTTCATCCACAAAATATCATATAAAATTGAAGCAAGAAGTCCTGCACCAACCAATTTAATATGAAATGGCTCAAATCTATCCATCAAAATAGTAAACATTAATCCATGACAGACTAAAACCTATTTATAGAAATATATTATATACATCTAAAAAAGAAGGTTTGGCAGAACAAACAAATAAAGTGATTAATCCATAAATTGTGAATATGATAACACCATGTTAAAGAATCTCAGGAGCTTCTGGTGTTTCATCTTAAATTTCTATTTATTTATCAGATTATAGTATAGATAATATTTATTCTTTATGTTCTTAAGGTGAATTTAATTAATGTTATTATTAATCTATTTCATAGATATTTTGATCTTAATCTTATTAATTTTAAGAAGTATGTAGTTATTAATTAAATATATTTGATGATAATTATTTATTATTCTATTCTTTTGATAATTATTTAGCTTTGAATGGTCTCTCAATTATTTCTAAATTATTTTTATATTCAATCAAATCATTATCTAAAGTAAAAATTTTCTATTCAAATTTTTATAGTTGAGCCTATAAATATTAATGCTTTTATCTATTAGCAAATATTTAAAATTACTTTGTTTAACACTATTTATGCTTCCAATTCAATAGTGGAACCAAGGTCTCTACCTACTGGATCTACTAATTTAAGTTCAACTTATTTAATAACTTGATCATCCAATTATTATATCTTTAATTAAGCTTAACCCCAAAGTATAGGTAAAGTGTTTTCAGTTCTGATGAAAAATTGAATTTATAAAGTAGAGATTAGAGGAGGAACAGAACTAGTATTAACTTTAAATAATAATATGTTTACAATTCGAATTCTTGATTAAATTCAGGATTAACTTTATCATATTGTTATTCTGGTTTAGCAATTTAATTTATAACTCCTAAAGTTAATTAAATGTGACAATTTGTGTATTTCAACTATAAAGGAATGTTTTTTGCACATAATAATGTCAGAAATAAGTATCTAGTATTTGAATAAACAGCTAATTATAGATTTATAACAAACATGTTTCTGCTAATTGACTTTCACATATAACTTTATTTTATTAAATTTATTTAAGTTATTATTCAGCATTCCTTGCTTTTTCTGCTTATAGCTATATTGCATCTATGATTGTTTAACCAATATCTGCAATTCTATAAACTATTTTCAAATTTAATTAAGTTGGTTTGCATTGCTAAAATAATTATTCTGCAATGTCTCTATCAAATTCCTTCTTTGCCATAATATCTAATTTAGCCAATATTTCATCTGCCTTGTACAGACTTTCCTATTTTAATCCATTTTCTTCAAATCCTCTTAATATGGTTTATAAATTTAACATATTAAAATTTTTATTTATATTATATTCAATCTCTTTAAGTAAATAAAAGGAATTATTTACAAAGAAATTTAATTTACATTCAATATGGTTCTATATTGAATTTCTAGTATTATAAGGATAAATTGAATTTTTTGATTCATTTTTTACTTAATTATAAATATATATAGAAAATTATTGAAATATCTCTAAATTAATTTAACAAAATGAATAGTAATACAAAAATAACCTTGACCATCGAATAATTAACAGAGCTACTTATGAATCCACAATTACCTAATATTTAAAGTAGTCTGTAATCATTGTCTGATTTTGAATAAAGAAATAATAAAATAGACTTAATGAAAATAGTATCATTTGTTGATTAGGATGAGTTCTAAACAGTTAGCACATCTACTTCAAGTAAAAATAGTCAAAATTAATAAATGATTGAGAAAATTAATGAATTGGAATTAGAAAATACATATCTCAAAAATTAATTGGAATAGCAAATTGAGAAAGAAAATCATTTAAGATAATAAATGAACCTATGTTTGAAAGAATCAGAAAGATTAAGAGCATAGAATCAACATCTTAATAATCAGTTGGATGAACTAGAAATATTAATAAATCAAAATAAACTGATATCAAATAGATTAGATCCAATCTCTAAATCAGTCCATTTGGATATTAAAAAAGCCTTAATAGTTAAACCCTTAACAATAACTTAACCTTTACGAAAGTTTTCAGGGACTAGTGGAATAATAGCATAAAATCCTTTTAAAAATTCCAAAGATCTGATTAGAATAAAAACCGAAAGAAGTAATTAATGAGACTTCCAATTTTGATTTTTTTCTAAGCTATATAACAAATATTTATTTGTATAAAATTTTAGTATATTGAGGAGACTTTTATATTAATTACTTAGTATATTTAGATAAAATAATAGGGAATTGTGAATAAATAAACAAAAGGATTTTAAGTTTAATTCTTGATTGATTATGATAATTTCAATAAATAAAGTTTGATAATATATTTAAAAGAAATTATCATAATTAATTTATTCTGTGTTATTAGTAATAACGTTCTGCATTTGGACAAGAATCATTTATATAAAAATAGATTAGTTTAACTAAACTAAATCAGTTATCTCAATTTTTACTTAAGATTTCAAGCATTTAAAATATTCTAAAGTTTATGATTTAGAATTATTTTTTACAGAAAGATTAACTGATTAAAATGATTTCATCAACTTATTTTGAAAGGAAAATTTATAGTAGAAGATTGAAAATAGATTTATTTACCATCTAGAGTTTCATGAGAAGGAGTTTAAGGTAAAATATTTATAAGTATAAAATTTAAGAAAATGAGTGTTTCATCATTAAATTGTTATAGTATTCTTTAATTTATCAATTACAATAAAAAGAAATAATACAGAAATATTGTTTTTGCTTTGTGTGCAAATGAATACATTAATAATAGTAATAATAAAAATTATTTTAGAATTTATGATTCATTTTGATTATCAAATATCTTTTTTTTATAATAAAAGCAACTTCAAAGTTTAGAAATGTAAAATTATGATTAAAAAAGTGGAATAATAATTAAAAATAAAGAAAATAAAAAATAATAATATAAAATAGCAAAGAGGAAATTTAAATAACATAGCATATACAAAAATTATTTCGAATTAAATAAATAATATTTATTATCCTTATATAATTATTTACAATTCTTATCAATAACTATTTAATGATAGTTAATAGCTATCATATTTTGATAATTTATTAAAATTAAATTAATTATATATAAATTATTGTAAAGAAGATTATTTTAAAGGAATTATAATGTGTCCTCAATAAATTGAGACTTTTTAGACATTTTAGAAAATTAATATTATTTTATAGTACATTATATGTATTTTTCACTATTTTGTTTAAATCATATTTAAGTTTATTTTTTCCTTATGTTAATTTCTTTTTAAATAATTATGGAAAATTCTTATAAGGTTATTATTATCATTAAACTTTGAAAGAATTAAGAAGAATAAATGAATTATTTAAATTTTATGATTTTTTATAAAAGTAAAGGAGGAATACATTTAACATTCGCTCTTAAACTACTAGTTACTGCAAGTTTCTCAAATGATATTTATTTGATAGTCATATCCTCAGTGAATATATTTACAATATTAATGAAAATGACAATACATAAAAAATAAACACTTATTTGGAAATATATAAGAATTATTTTACTTATAGAATTGTGCTTGAATGATTAGCCTTTTGGACCTGTTATTATTGCATCAATTAATTACAACATCAAATACAAGATCGTTATATTGTCATTTTATATTTTAAGAGCAAGTTTAATATTTTTTAACACTTTCAAGATTATTGATTGGATTTATGTAGGAATTTTATTTATCAGCTTCAATGTGTACTTTTATTTGCATGTAATAACTTTTTTATTTTTAGGATATAAAACAATCTGACAGTAAAGTAAATTGCCAATCTCAAAGAAAATTGACTTAGTCTGAAATTCCATCATAAAATGATTCTAATGATGTTATTGATTTCTTCAATTATATTCCTTTAGGAATATGTTTATTAGATAAGAATTACAAAATTGTTAATTCTAATAATAAGACTAAAAAGTATTGTTCAAATATTGAAGAAAATAATTTATAGCAATAACTATTTGTAATGATTCATAAGTAAAATACTTTATCATATTAGAGCTTGGATGGAACAGTAATAGAATCCTAGTGCATTAAGATTTGAAAAGAGATCTATGTTCAATTCATCTGAAGATTATGGATCAGACTTTTAATTGAGAAGAATGAAATCATTTAGTTAGACCAGAAAAAAAGCTATATCTGTAACCTTTCATAAATAGTTTAACCATATTATTGATTTTGCTCAAATTATCAATAAATTTAAAAATTCAGGAATGATCAATAATTTTAACTCTCTTAAATATAGAGATTAAACTAGTTAGAAAACGTATGAGATTAAGATATATGAGATATCTAAAGGATATTTGATCACGATTAGAAACATTACCAAAAATGAGAAATAAATAGATATGAAGGATAGATATCATTTCTAATAGATGCTAATTAATTCATTCTCACATGAATTACGCACTCCTTTAAATTGTTCTTTAGCCCTCTTACAAACATTGGAATAAGAAGTGAAATCAGATTTGAATGATACATATCTAAAACCAGCAATAATCTCTAACAAAAAATTGCTTCATTAAATTAATGATATTTTGGATTTTGCAAATTTTGAAGTTTAAACATTCCAATTAAGACCTACTATATTTAAATTGTCTAATCTAATATAAACAATAGAAGATTATTTTCAAGCTGAATGTAAATAAAAGAAAATTGAATTTATCATTTAAGTATGTGATGATGCTTTTATTAGAAGTGATTTTGATAGGATACTATAAATTTTAGTTAATTTATTGAACAATTCAGTAAAATTTACAAAACAAAAAGGAATTATTAAGTTGAATATATAAAGAGTAGGATCATTATATCAGTTCGAAGTCTATGATACAGGATGTGGGATTTCTACTGAGAAATTATTTTTAATTAATAAAATTCTATAAAATTCTGAAGTGGATCTTGCAAGAAGAGGGGAAGAAGATTATCTTTAATATGTTGGTTTGGGTTTAAAAGTATCAAGTTAAATAGCAAGATAATTATGCGATAATGGTGAATTGTTCATTACAAGTTAATTGAATCAATTTACAAATAATAGATTTATTGTAAGAGATTTATAATCTTATGATGAAACATTAACTATACCAACTGATGAATGTATATAAGAACCATACAAGAGCTATGTGAAAAAGAAATGTAATTGTTAAAATGTATTAATTGTGGATGACATTCCTTTTAATCATTTAGCCTTTATTACAGTTTTAAAATACTTTAATATTAAAAGTGATAGTGCATATGATGGTTAAATGGCTATTGATATGGTTAAAAGTAGATATTAAAAATGTTAATGCACTTATAAATTAATTTTTATGGATATTGATATGCCTGGAATTGATGGATATTAAACTACTAAGCTAATTTAATAATTTTTAGAATAGAATAATATGAATACTGTAATCATAATGTGCAGTGCATTTGATAGTAAAGAAAACATAGATATTGCATATAAAAGCGGAATGAAAGATATCCTTCCAAAACCAATACAAACAAATCGACTCAAAAAGATACTATATAAATATTATTTCTGATTATAATTATTACATTATGGATTCTTTTTATGACTGTTATCATATAATTATAATGTTTCCTTGCTTAAAAAAAAAATTTAGAATATCAATATAATTTTAATGTAAATAAAAATGTCAAAAATTATTGTGACATTGATTTTATAATCCACCATTTTGTCAATATATAATGGTATTACCTAAACTTAGTAAAGTTTCTTTTTAATATTGGACATATTCTTACTTTTAGGATAATATGGATAAAACCTATCATTGATTTTATTAATTGGTAGTATTTGTTTATCAAATGAATTACTAATTGCAGATGAGAATGTAAATAGTATATTAATCTAGATTAAATGTTATTATATCAGTATGCGTTTTATTCTTAGTGCCAATTTACTAATGGAAAAATAGAAATTTATTTACTTTATAAGTTGTCTCTTTTATTTACTTTTCAGGGCTCATCTATACTTATAACCATTATCATATTTAACTATATATGGATATTTAATGATTGTAATAAAATGTAAAATTTTGAATAAATGCAAAGGTCTTCATCAAAATTTAAGTAATGGAAAATCTAAGAATACCTAAACTAACCAACTTTTAGATTTTTTTAAAGTAAGTCTACCTATTCCAATCTGTATAATTCAAAATAATGGTAATAAATTTAGTTATTCTTAGCATTTTTGTTTAAGACTGATTAGTTTATTACAGAATATGTAGATATCACACCTTAAATTATAAGAAAGATACATTCCTAAAAGGATAAGGATAGTCTT